GGTTGTGCTAAAAATAAAGGTTTATTTTAACTCGAATTTAAGCACTACTGCTAAGATTAGTGAGATCCGAAAATGCAATTTTGCTAGTATTATCCGAGATGCACCTATATTCCAGTCAATCATAAGCTCCATGTTTCCAGTTTTCTTATCCCATCAAAAACGCTTGTAGTTTCTGTGGAACCAAATATTAGACAAACTATACAAAGAGCTTCTCTTCATCCTACTGAATTTGACTCAAAACTTTGAAAAAGATTGGCAAGGAGCTAAATCGGGAAATCAGAAGTAGAAATAAATGGAGGAAACAAACCAGAGCACACTCGTTGGCATTCTCCTCGCAGTGTCTTCCTGTAAATCCCAGTGGGCAAATGCAGTCATAAGTTTTAGTATTATTCCTTTCCACACATTTGCCACCTGCAAATATGAACGTGAACTATCAAGAGAGTGAGAGCAGTTCAGTCCGGAACAGAGAGGGAGAAAACCTTTTGCGGCTGAAAAAACCCAATGACCAGTGAAGGATAAATCGCGTAACCGAATTATGGAAAATGGAATCAGTCACAGCAGCTCGAGAAAGGACAATTAAGAACTCAGAAAGGCATACGAAGTTAAAAGTGCAATCTCCGCGCAGAGGCAACAAATCCTTTTTAAACTGGGGCAAGTCTCGGCGCACTGTAAAATTTACCATTCGATCCCCCCTCTCCGCTGGGCAAATAACATACACAACGAGCAAAACAACGAACTAAGCCAGGACAGCACCACATTTAGCCGCACGCGGCATCTGCTAAAGTATGGTAGACTGAGCATTTTGGTGCGGAGTTGGTACGCGGCCTTTCCTAACCAGGAGTAGTTCCAACTTTTCAGAACAGCAAGCTACTCAAGCAGACAACTCTTGGCCTAAGAGGAAAATGTGAAATCAGCTGTTCGTCTAAGCAGAACGCAGATTTATTTATTTATGCTTCGTTCGTTATTTCCGCGCAGAATTAGTGGAACTGATCTTGTTTCGTTTGGCTTGCCAACCTGAGCATCTTCATCGCACCAACAATTCAAGATAAGGCTCTAGATTAGTTAAAATGAGAGCAGTTGATTTAGCTCAGTCATTCTAGTGCACTATGAACTTCTGAAATACAGGCAAAAAATGGGTGTTGCTTCTGAAAGTGTTCCATTGTAAGCAATTATGATTCACAAGGTTTTGCCTGCCAAAATTAATTGTATAAAACGGAAGAAAAAGTGCGTTTGCTCCGGATGCCAAATTCAGCTTTATATTTCAGAATCCAGAGTATGCTGCAGGGGTGAAATAGGTGAAAATCATTGCAAAAACGGATGAATTGAAAACGGGAAACGCAAAAAAACCATTCTCCCAACAGGAAATTAAGCCTACACAAAAGCGCAACATCGAAATGAACAAGTGACCTTGGATGGACGGAATGGAGAAATGTCAACATTTTCGAGTGTTTTCCCATAATTCCAATTCTAAGAAGGTAAAAAAGCTGAAAATTACTGGAAAAAAAGGAGAAAGGTCTCGGACGAGGAT